TAGGCGTTATTAGCCCTACCCTGCGTCTGAGTGACTGATTCGAGGCTAAAGCCTCTGAGTAAGTGTCATGGTCAGGCCTTTGCCACATGGACCACATCTCTTATAAAAATTACTGTCAGCCCACTAGCTCCCATCGCCGCCGCGTCTATCCACAATAAAAAAACTTACGCCATTTAGGATTATTGTAAATTATAGAAATAGTGCGACGTATAAAACATCATTATTTGTGTACTGGGTTAAAGCAAAGCTTCTAAATTTGGAAGTTTTTAGTAAATAGCTCCTACCACTTTATTAAGTTAATTGATGATCAGACGATAGAAAGAGATTTGCTGGTAAGTTTCGATATAGGTCTATGTACGCTAACAATCCAAAAAACGAGTCAATGAAGGCTTTGGAATTAACTCTAGATCAACACTCTGAAATAACAACAGGTAAAAAGTTAAGTGAAAATTCTATCATTAGATTAATCAATTTGGCAATGCATAATACATATTGAATTTTCAATGTATGAGCAGAAACAGGACTTAGCTATGGGATCTAGCTTAACCTCTATTTTAGCTAATAACTTCATGGGCCAATAAAAATTTAGTGTGTTTAGAGAGACATTACTAGTTCTCAAATTATTAGTTCGTTATATGGTCGATTACTTTGCTGTTTGGCAACACGGCAAAGATAGTTTGGGGGAATTCCTTGAGCTAATAAATAGAATAGATGCAAATCCTAAGTTTACCATTGAGTTAGGAAAGGAAAATAAATTGCCTTTTTGGATGTATTACTTAAGGTAATAAGTTAGGTAGAGACATATATAGGTAACTCACGGACGCGAGTTTCCTTATTAATTTATTCTATAACCAAACAAATAGAGTCAAAATAGGAGTTATGGAGTCTGCGTCTATCAGATGTAAACCATAGAGACAAGGAGATTGATAGATTGACGAATATACTATTTCAAAACAACTACATATTAATTGTTGAGGAACTTTCATTTTGCATAAAGGTGAATGAAGAAGAGATTCGTAGGTCGATTTCACCAGAAGAGGACGGATGAATCCCGTTCTACTGCAGCCGTTTGGCTTTTATACGAGGTTCAGATTCACACAGTCCATAAGACCTTGCTCGTTTCGGGTGAAAACGGATGAGCTTTAGTTCAACATATGATGTCCATCATGAGCTGGGTCTCATTTCTGTAAGTCTAACATTAGCACTAGGGCAAGAAGACTATCCGGTTCTATCATACCTCTTATATAGACTCAATCAAGCCAAAAAAAAAATTAAAAACCTAGAGAGATATACAGTATAATGATATGTATTCATCCTATTTCGTGTAAGGTGATGAATGACTGGTAGTAGAATTTTCCCACAATGATATGAGTTGAGCTGACGT